AATCATGTTCCCCAGTATAGGCCTGTGGAAGCAAGGAATAAGGCAAGCATAGTTACTCCTTATGTTTACCCTTGAAAAAAGAAGCATTTAACCAATATATATGGAGGAAGCCCAACTGCAATGTGAATATTTTTATTTTCCCAGATTATAGCTTGAAATGCAGGCATCAAAAATTCCTGCCCTTTAAATCAAGTATCAACTTTCTATATGGTTTGTTGAGCAAAAAAATAAAATAACAGAATAAATTCAGCACCAGAGATTTGGGGCAGCATCTAGAGTGAACAATGAAAATGCAAACCAATGAATTCAAATGAACAAAAACTGAGTCATGCAAATACAAGAAAGTCAACACCTTGTCCCATCCCTCCATGCCTCCTGAGCCTTAGGTCAGTAAGGCTGCTCATTACATTGCAATGTATAGCAAGTAAGTGATGGGGACCAAAGCAATGACATCCTGGATGATGATGTAATTTCCAAAACAGAGCTTCATGTCTCTTAGGGTTCCAAGGATGAAAACGTAGGATAAGTCTCAGCCTCCTGTATTTAGGTGCTCTTGATATTTTTCATGATTGAGAATCAGTACAGTATCACTTTAAAATCTGGAAGAGTAGCAATCTCCTTTTTATTTGATGTGGGTTGTAGGAGATGGAGACCCTCCATGTAACACTATGAAGTGAGCAGAACCAAGCACTGGATTTTACAATAATCCAACTGCCACATATTTAGTATAAAAAGTCCATCAAACATATCTGCATTTTGTGTGCTAAGCATCATTTAAAGACAATAGTAATGGCAGATTCAGACATATACACATATTGATTTATTTGTTAGGTGTCAACTAAAAATGATTTATTTCTTGGACATCTCATTGATTTTCTCCATGTTTATGTATGAAGGCAGACCAAAGTGCCTTGCTGAAGTGTGTGGTTTGACATTAAGAGTAGCTGTGGGAATGACTGATTTCACAGGTAAAAGTAAAGTATGGAAATACAGTCTACAAAGCTGAACCTGGAGTGGAAAGAGGAATGAGGCAATAAATTGTTTTTTTCCCATTTAGAAGACATAAAACTAAAACATACAGTGCCGTTAACCATGGTGTAACTATTGTTATGAAAATAATGTTTCACTAAGCTTCTTTTAAATGGCAATTGACTACCGTCACATGCTCTTCATTTGGAATATTTCAGTATTTTGTTTTATTATAAAAAAAGATTCTCAGCTTTCTTCACTAAACATATAAGTTGCAATTGTGTGAACAATTTTAGGGACACTTCAGACATAGAACAATTTACTCAGATTGGTCATAGAACACATCCCCTGGTAGATCCTGGTGATGCAATACCACAGAGCCCCCTGACCCCAGAAAGGTATTATTATTATACATGATTTATATAGTGCCAACAGTTTGCGCAGTGCTTTCCAATATAAAGGGGGACAGCACAATCACAATACATTTCAGTACAGAAGGAATAGGCCCTGCTCATGGAGCTTACAATCTAAAGGAAGAAGGTGGTACAAAAAGGTGATAGCTGCAGGGAATCATCTGATGGAGGTGGCTCAAGTAGAGTTCTTAGGTGGAGGTGGAGGTGGGGTAGGCTTCCCTGAATAAGTGAGTTTTCAAAGATTGTCTAAATTAAGACAGGGTGGGGGCTGACCAGACATACTGGGGTAGGGAGTTCCAGAGGATGTGAGAGGCTGTGGAGAACTCTTGGAGGTAAGTGTAACAATGGAGCTAGAGAGCAAGATGTCTTGGGAGGAGCAGAGCAGGCAATTTGAACGATATCTATGGATGAGGTTGGTGATGTAGCTAGGGGCAGTGTTGTGGATGGCTCTGTAAGCTGTGGTTGGTATTTTGAATTTTATATGTTGGGTTAGTGGAAGCCAATGAAGGGAATGGCATTGAGGGGCAGCAGTCACTGATCGGTTGGTAAGGCGTATGAGTCTAGCAGCAGCATTCATTATTGACTGAAGAGGGATAACCTGTGTAATGGTAGACCAGTAAGGAGGGAGTTGCAGAAATCAAGGCAGGATATAACCAAGGCATGGATAAGTTGTTTTGTTGTGTCATTGGTCAGAAAGGGGTGGATTTTGGAAATGTTGTGGAGGTTAAGGCGGCAGAATTTAGCCAGTGATTGGATGTGGGGTCCGAAGGAGAAGTCAGAGTCTAGGATTACACATAGCACCCTGGCATGAGGGGAAGGACCAATGGTTTTGCTGTTGATCTTAATGGTAAAGTCATGAGTAAGGGATTGGTGAAGAGAAAATATTACAAGCTCAGTTTTGGAAAGATTGAGTTTAAGGGAGTGGTGTGACAGCCATACTGATATGTCGCTTAGTAGATTTGTGATACATGAGGAGATTGAGGGGGTGAGCTGGGGAGTAGAGAGATAGATCTGGGTGTCATCAGCATAGAGATCATACGCATTAGTCGAACAAGGTGTAATTCGGACGTTCCAGTGGTGCAAATACGTTTTGTCTATTATTAAGAAAAAACTGTGATGGTTATGGAGTATATTACGAACAGCAGAATGTTCAGAGTTTAGCAGTATGGAGTATATAAGGTAGTGCACAGTGCACAGATTGGATGTGTGAAGTATGTACCCCTAGAGCACAGTTTATGTATCCCACCATCTATCTCAATACATTCAGCACACCTCATCATGCATTCCTGTGCACTCAGCACATGAACCAATCTAATACTACACTACAGAATTCCCACCAGTGGATCTGCAATCTGACACTTGTCAGCCTATAGACATATCTGCACCTGCTGGTCATCAGGCTTCTCTATGATATGAAGGTCCACCCGCTTCCTGCACATCACTCCTCTGTCCCTGCCAATGCCGACTCTGCCTACCAATGCCTCCCTGCCAATGCCTACTTTTGTTAAACTCTGTTATGTAAGAAGGTGTGGGTGGGCTACCTCTCTTTCTCACTTCTATGGTTTTGTCTTTGATATAACGATTGGATGGGAATTGGCCTTAACTACTGTGCTTTAAAATTACTGAGAATCAGTTGGAACCATGGTCAGCTTATGCCTAACCCCATTACTACATCACCATAACTGCCACATGATACTGAGAAAGCAAATCTCTCACCGTTTTTGAAGTTGTTTTCTGAAATATTACATGCTAGGATGGAGAAACAGATACACACTGGCCCCATTATTTTTAATTCTCCCCCATGTGGAAAATATATTCATGGGAACTTCATAAACAGCAACAGCTTTGTTCAAAGATATTGAAAATGTTAATGCAGTCTTAACAGACCCGTACCATGGGAAGTGCTGGAATACACAGAAAAGAAGGTGCTACTGCTTCCCCAATGCTTGCACCTTTCTGTTAGTGGGCTTGAATTTCTAAAGAAGTAGAGAATGATTACTTAGTTAATATGGTAAATCTGCATTTACTTTGAAAACATTGCAACAGAAATATATAAAAAAAAAGAACATTTGCTGGCATATGTTTGCATAATAGAAATTAATACAACTTCACCTTATTCACTAAACTAAGTGAGCATTATCCATTGCTCTTTGTAAATAAACCCCACTGCATCAGACTAAGCTGTTGGCTTTTATAAATATACCCACTAAGCAGATATTAAGAATATTTATTTTTTTGAAAATGTAATATTATGTTTTGTGGTCAGTTAATATATTGGTTTGTATACTTCTTTAAAGGGAAATGTTTATGGCGATGCTACAATACAATAGCAGCTCAAACAGTGGGTGACACAAGTGAAAAATTAATAAGTCATTTTTCAAGCAGTTATAATGGACACTGTGACCCTGGTTTACTAAAGGAAATTTTTTTTTTTCTTGCACATGATTGGATGATTGATACACCAGCATGGTGTTGGGAGTGTCTTCTCACCAAGCACACGCTCCCAACACTATGCTGAAGCATCTTCCCTTGATAGTTGGAGAACTTCACATTCCCCAGTACCTTGTCAGAAGAAGGATGATGTCACCTTCACCTAATGCTAATGGTGGAAGACGGATACTAGCTAACTTTTTTTACAACTGATTTTTTAATACTTTTTTATATTTGAGAAAAAGGAAAAGGGAAAAGTAAATAGCGGGCCTTGTCCTTTAGGTGGAAAGTCCATTAAAAAAAAATATTACATAAGCATACTCACTACATTAAAATTATTTATTAATAAACAATTCTTTTGCCCATGACTGGGTAATCTTTGCAATGTGAATTTTTATTTTGTTTGACCTATTTCCAAACTGACTTTGCAAAGTGAAAATTATTTTTTGAAAGTGAAAATGCTCCACTCCTAAACACTAAATTCTAACACCGTCATGGCCACCTGGTAGTGTGCGACACATGATTTTTCCTGAGTAGAAGGGCTAGCAAACAGAAATAGACACATATATTCATTCAAATTGTTACTAAACTCATGGCAGTAAAATCAGTCTTTATATGAAGTAAAGCATGCTTGCTATACTCACTGTGGAACCTTAACCATGTACAAGTCAGAAAATTCTCTTCTTGGAGAATTCTCTCCTAGCGCATCACCCCAGACCCCAGATGAATCCTCTTCTCTTCCAGCTGTACTGGGTGAATCCGTGGGCAAGGGGACCTGGAGTCTCTTTAAATCAAACAGTCCCAGGGGGTAGTCAGGTTTCCCACCCGAATGCCCTTTCCCCTTTCCCCCTTATCTGGCCCAAGGGGGTGTAGGACTGCTCACTCTCCTGCAAGCTTACTGGGTTGGTGGCTGCCTACAGGCCTTCCGCTGGGCTGGTTCCACTTTTCAACTTCAGCCTGGAGGTAGGCCCCTTCCAAGCTCCTGCATCCCAGCCTCCCACTCCATCTTCCACCCAAACTCTCCTGCTGCTGAGCAGGCTCTGTCACACTTAAAGGCTGTCCTGGTCCCTTGTAATTTTAAGTCAGTGGTATTGTTTCCCGAAGTATTAGGACACCCCTCCAAATCATTGGATTCAGGTGTTCCAATCACCTCCATGGCCACAGGTGTATAAAATCAAGCACTTAAGCATGCAGACTGCTTCTACAAACATTTGTGAAAGAATGGGTCGATCTCAGGAGCTCATTGAATTCAAGCTTGGTACCGTGATAGGTTGTCACCTGTGCAATAAGTCCATCAGTGAAATTTCCTTGCTACTAAATATTCCACGGTCAACTGTTAGTGGTATTATAGCAAAGTGGAAGTGACTGGGAACAATAGCAACTCAGCCATGAAGTGGTAGGCCACGTAAATTTACAGAGCAGGGTCAGCACATGCTGAAGTGCACAGTGCGCAGAAGTTGCCAACTGTCGACAAACTCAATAGCTAAAAACCTCCAAACTTTGTGTGGCCTTCAGATTATCACAACAACACTGTGTAGAGAGCTTCATGGAATGGGTTTCCGTGGCCGAGCAGCTGCATCCAAGCTTTACATTACCAAGTGCAATGCAAAGCATCGGATGCAGTGGTGTAAAGCACTGGGCTCTGTATCAGTGGAGACGTGTTCTCTGGAGTGACAAGTCACAGTTCTCTGTCTGTCAATCCCATGGACATGTTTGGGGTGGGTGGTTGCCAGGAGAACAGTACTTGCCTGAGATTATAACTGTACACCTGCTGATTGACTGTGGTCAAACACAGAACAAACACACAGAATTCTGTACACATTGATCTATCTGTTTCTTCTCAGAGGAGAAATTTCATGAGGAAGAAAAAGCAGCCAGATCTGTTAATAAAAGCAGCACACACTAAAAACATTACACTTGTTAGGCACACAGTTAACCACTTGATTGCCCCATGATCTTAAACCCTTCCAAGACAATGCCATTAGTACAGTGTACAGTTTTATCACTATATTTATTTATTTATTTATCGAGTTTATATAGCGCCAAAGGGTTTGCTCAGCGCTGTACAATAGAGGGGGGACAATACATGAAACAGAACAGTAACATCAAACAGTACACAAGGGGTAAGAGGGCCCTACTCTTTCGAGCTTACAATCTAGGAGGGAGGGGGTAGAGGCACAGGAGGAAACGGCTGTGGGGGATGGAGTGGTAGGAGGAGGGAAGGGCAGCGGCTGTTAGGTGAGGGTGGGGTAGGCTTCCCTGAAGAGGTGGGTTTTCAGGGAGCGCCTGAAGGTGAGGAGGGAAGGTGACAGTCTGATGGATTGGGGTAGTGAGTTCCAGAGGATGGGGGAGGACCTGGAGAAGTCTTGCAGTCGTGCGTGGGAGGAGGAGACCAGGGAGCAAGATAGAAGGAGGTCCTGTGAAGAGCGAAGGGTACGGGTAGGGTGGTACCTGGGAATCAGGTCGGTGAGGTAGTTAGGGGCAGTGTTGTGAATGGCTTTATAGGTCAGGGTGAGCAATTTGAATTTAATGCGTTGGGCAATGGGGAGCCAGTGGAGGGAGAGGCAGAGGGGGGTGGCAGAGGTGGAGCGGCTGGTGAGGTGGATGAGTCTGGCCGCTGAGTTCAGGATGGTCTGAAGCGGGGAGAGCCTGCACTGGGGTAGGCCGGTGAGGAGGGAGTTGCAGTAGTCCAGGCGTGAGATAATCAGGGAGTGTACTAGTAGTTTAGTGGTGTCTGGGGTAAGGAAGGAGCTATATATTAACTATACTATATTATATAACTATATTAGTGTCACTAGCGACATCAATGTCAGAGTCCCTCCCAGCCAGTGTCAGTTAGCGTTAGATTGCCCGCCACACTATTACAGTCACACTACAAGTTGCTGATCACCTCTGTTACTGGTATAATATCTATACAAATCAGTATCTTGATCAAGATTATAAATATAGATTATAACTATACTAGTGTCCCCAATAGTATAATGTCCCCAAAAATGCAGTTTGTTTTTTTACCAAAGACAGAGAACATTTTGGCCTAAATTTGTAAAGAAATTTGATTTTATTGGATATATTTTATAACAGAAAATAGAAAATATTTTTTTGTTTTCAAAATGTCCGGTATTTTGTAATTTATATACTAACAAAACAGTGGTGGTCAAATACTACTAAGAGAAAGCTGTATATGTATGAAAAAAATAATAAAAAATTATTTGGGTACAGTATTGCATGGCTGGGCATTTGCCTGTTAAAGTAGGATATTGCTGAATAGCAAAAAAGTATCTTGTCATGAAGGGGGTAAAACCTTCCAGAGGTCAAGTGGTTAAAATGAACACAGGTTCACATTGTTTACTGACAGTTTCTATTCCTTTAGCAAATCAGCCCCAATGGATTTTCTCACGTGTGACACTTTGTGGATAAATCTGCTGCATCTTCAACTGAACATCTCCCACTGCAGCTCAGTTTGTTACACTGGGCACTCACCTACAAATTGAGTTTTTATGCTTTCATGAAGTTTTTATCTTAAAAAGGGGCACTCGTACTTGAAAATATCAGCATTCATCCAGAGACGCGCGGTGATAATGTTGAGCTCTTTGATAACTACTTATCAGCTGCAAGCATTATGATAAGCCCTATCCATGTGCAGGAATTTCCTATATCATTTGCACTGGTATCACATTGAGATATGCTTGATACAAATTGCTTTGGAAGAGGGAGAAATGCCAAGTAAAGCACAGAGACATCTGTCCGCGCCGCATATAAAAACCACGTTAAGGTTTCCTGCACCTGTGTAAACAAAAACTTTATTTCCAAGAAGAATCACCGCAGCTGGGATTCATTTCAGAACTTGCCAGATAGGATGCTTTTATTAAAGTGTATGGCATAAAAACACAAATTATAGCCATTTATGAGTTAGCAAAGATACATCAGAGGATGCGTATAAATAGCATTAGCTACACAGATGCCTTTTTTTAAAAAAAAAAGAATGTATTTCACGTAAGATGAAGCCTCTTGGTCACGCCTCGAGGTATAATGCACAGCTAAAGGCTTTTATTAGCATGGAAGAAGTGACATAAATATGCAGTAAGCCATAGCAACCAAGCATGGATTAGCTTTGATCTGCCTAGAGAGACTCAGTCTAATGAAAGTAAATGTGCTATGTGCTGCAATTTGGACCTTTATTAAATAAGCCTTTTGTTTCTGAGAATAAAGCGGTGCAAAACAATAGCTAACAACTGCATGCTTTTCAGAAGTATCCAGATTCTCAAACAGCTGGTAAACGAAAATGATCTTCATTAGAATTATCTCCATTTACAGATATTATAAAATATGAGTGCTTGTATGTGAATACAGTGCTTGCCATAGATATGTATTTGCTTTCCATGCTAAAGATGCTAAAGAATAAAAAAATTGGTCCCTAATAAAAAAGGAGCAGCTTACGTTTAGGATGTGTTGTTCTTACCATTTATGCACTATGTATATAACGTATATGTACAGTATATATGTATTTATATATTAATTTTTATAACTATCATTCTGTTATGTTTTTCTTTCTACTTTTTTGCTTTTCATTTTTAATTTATTTGGTTATTTACAATACCTTATCTTTACTGCTACAGCTAATGTTTGTTTGATCTACATTTATAGACATTTTAAAATGGTAACTCCACTTTTGCTAAGAAAAAACATTCCGCCTTGGGTGATCTATGTACATTGCAAGGATTTTAACAAACTTTGTTGCAGATTCCTACCTTTTGTTCTTCTGAAGAAATAGGTGTTTGACTGTGTCCATGTTCAGAGCGAATGTAAATGGGGGTGATTTTATCATTAAAGTGTTACTAAACCCACAACAGTAAAATCAGCCTGTGTATACAGGAAAGCATGGTTGTTATGCTCACTGTGAAACCTAAGGGGTTAATCCTCTGCATTGTGTAAAAAGACTGTTTGATCCTGACTTCTCTGCTCCTCCTCTTGTTCAAATGTCCACGTCTTATCTCCCTATAAGACAGACTGAACCGTAGCCATTCTGCACACGGTCAGTTTAGTCTGTATTGCTAGAAAGGTTTTTTTCTTTCTTGGAAGAGTGCATGTGATCAGCACAGGGTCAATCAGCACTATCCAGAAAGAGGTCAGGGGTTTTGCATCCTGCTAGAGCAGAAAGAAAACTCCTCCTGCAAGTTTTAACCAGTGCTCTGTTGAACACTGATAGAAGTCACAAGACCGCTCTAACTGCTGATGAGAAAAGGTATTTAGCAGTTTATATTTACTCAAATAATTGCACTTCCATGTTATGTGTACTGTGGGAGACCAGATATAGTGAATGCAGAGTCCTGGGTTTAGTAACACTTTAACAATCAGCTGACACACTCGCAGTGTTCTAATTAGGAAAGTGGCACGGCCTGCATCTCTTTAGATGCAATTAACCCTTTGGGAGTGTCTTACCAAAACTGAAATGTTTGTTGTAGAGGATACCCAAAATCTAATTTGTATCTTAGTGCAGACCTCTGGGAAAATCAATGAGCCAATCACATAAGCAGAAAATTACTCCGGGGTTTTCCGTACAACATCTATGTACAGAACACTTCAAGGCTGCCATATTGCATTGAATTTTACATAAAATTACAGTGATGCAGATTGAAAAGGAAAGGTAATTTTTAAAAGTTATATTACAATATGGCTTGTGCTGCAATTGTATATGCTGTATTATTTTTATTTGTAATATATTTTTCCCATGAAAATGGAGTTACTCTTTAACCTCTTCCCGTCCACCCATTGCATATAGACAGCGGACAGGAGCTTGGCTGATGCGGGCTAATGTACCTGTACCTTGCACTCAGATCACCGATAATCCTGTAAATCAGAACAGCATACAAAAATTCTTAAACAGTAAAAAAAAGGTGAAAAAAAAATCTCAGAAATGTTTTCTACATACATATATTAGACTATTATAACTGTTAGCAATGATAGTAATTGGTCACTGAAGTGGAAAATGAAGGATTTGGAACTAATATATTATTTCTAATAGGAAATTAGCACCCAAAGAATTTACATGTGATCAACAATCAGTGCAATAACCATGGTTGCTATAAACCAAAACTATATCAAATACTGTATGTGTATGTCATAAAAGAGCCATTTATTTTATTAATTTATTACAGGTACTTATATAGCGCTGTCAATTTTTTGCAGCGCTTTACATATATATTGTACATTCACATCAGTCCCTAACCCTCAAGGGGTGTACAATCTAAGGTCCCCAACTTACATACACATACTAGGGCCAATTTAGACAGGCTCCAATTAACCTACCAGCATGTCTTTGGAGAGTGGGAGGAAACCCACACAGGCACTGGGAGAACATGCAAACTCCAGGCAGGTGGTGCTGTGGTTGGGATTTGAACCAACAACTCTAGTACTGCCAGGTGGAAGTGCTAACCATTTACCCACTGTGCTGCCCCAAGCCATCATCCTACTCAAGGTTCCACTGTGTATCCATACCTAACAATAACAAAAATTCAGCTGGATGTGTCAAAGGATGTGATTAAACAATTTCTGCATAAATAAGGACCTGTTCCATAGTGATCCTACACGTGTCATGACATTGATGACACCTTATCAGCAGAATTTTTTGTTGCTTGAGCATTTTACTG